GCAGCTGCTGCTCACGGTGGCTGCATCTGTTTCGGCCGTTCTGGCACAGAACCAGCAGTGCCAGGTGAACGCAGGAGCTGCATCATCCACTGAAAGACCGCAGCTGTGCACGTTAAACTGCAGATATGTGGCATCCGTGTTGAGCCAGAAAACCGACTGAACGGCGGAATCGAGCAAAGGCTTGACACGCAGCACTCTCTCTCCATGCACAAACTCTTTATAACTTTAATTCTCTTCACACTCATGTGACTTACCCCTAAAGACTGCTCTAGAGTAGTATGTCGGTCCTCCTTCTCCACTGTGCGCCTGCAGTCAGAGCACACCCACAGAGGCAGCTGTAGAGCACTGGGAGTCTTGGCAGGCTGTGCCGTACCGTTCTGGCCTGAGATGCTTGCCTCTGAAGGCACGACAGTGTCTTTACGCTCACATCGACACAAGAGGCAGCGATCACCAGCAGTGTAGGGCGCTCGCTGGTTCAGGCCAAATGTGAATGGGGTCTGTGGTGGGAAAGAAAAATATATTAGTTTACATGAAGTCACTGTGTTTGATTCAAATCCCTTAGATAGAAATGCAGTGGCTGTTGTCATTTATTACTTAAGGGAATAAATAAAAGCAGGTTATTTTTTCTTCTAATAATAATAATAATACAGATGTTATTTTAGAGGAAAACTCAAGTTTGTGATCACTTGAACTGCTAACCAATCTAACATTCACGACCCGATGTACTCCAGGTACAACAGCTGTTTGAACAGGCCCGCTGTACTTCATTAAATCACAGGAACTTTAACACAGAGTCCTTTCAGTGCGTGAACCACAGAGGGGCACAAACACGTAATTAGAAGCTAGAGGCTTCAATTAATGATATACACACTGACTGCTTGGGACGGTGGGTGGGATGGCTATGGGATTTTAAGAAGAAGGTTGACTTCCATCTATTTCAGCTACATTTTAAACGTGTACTCCTGGAGACTGTGACTCAGTGAGTACTCTGGGTTAGAGCGGGGCAGCTTTACACTTAACGGAATATCAGCATCTATCCAAACATGATATGGCCTCCTAGTACAGCTATGGTATGAATTTCAGAATCCTATTTTTCCTCCTTAAATTATCACATTCTCAAACTCAGGTGTCGATATTGTAAATTCTTTTTTTTCTTTTTTTTTAAATTAGTGTAAGAAAGTAGCTGAACATTGTGTGACACATGTTAGTTAATCATTTACTCATTTGCGTTGTATCCAACTGCTCCTAATCAGTGTGTAGTGTTTCACACAACAAACAGGAGAGTTGTAAAGTGCCCTCTGTTGGACAAACTATGCAACGCCAACTCTCATAACATAGTTGAAAGGCATTTCTCACCCTTCTTCCTTACCTTTTTAATTTCCATTTATATATTATTTATCCATGTATTATTATTATTATTATTATTATTATTATTATTATTATTATTATTATTATAAAAGATCAGCGAAAAAAGCAAATATTTGCAGACAATATCTGCTCACTGATCAATCAGTTGGGTTCTCTATGATAAACAGTACATTTCATACATATATTTCCTCGTTCCTTGTTCAAGTTCATGTTCGTGATGTGTGTTGTATGGATTTGAATTCTGAGGAATAACGTCATTAGTAATCAGGAAAAAAAAAAGGCAGTTATCAACACTTAAACCCTACTGTTAAAAAAAAAAAAAATACAAATGCTGGAGCATCTGAATGTATGAATAACTGAGGCAAGTCCTACCGAATATGAATAAGTTCCATACTTAAAAATGACTGGATTAACAGAAACACTGAATGTTTAAATCTTGAGTGGGTTTCCACCATTTAGCATACACACAGTTCTATTGTCAAGGTGGGTATTATTCTGGTAAACTGGACATGTCTTTGAGCGACAAAGGTTCTGTATCATTGAGTGGATTCAGAAACCCTTGACTGTACTTTACCTGAAGGACTCCAGAGAAGTCAGCATTCACCGGTCCTTCCGTAAACTGTGGTGTAACGCCGCTGTTCACTTTGACCTGATGGACACAAAACAGCTCATAGTTTACAATGAACTCATCCCTTTCTATTTATGCAAGTGATCAATTACACTAAGTGATGACACAGTTTCTATATTACACCTCAAAGCTTCTAATGTTTTCTGTATTATTTTCTGGGTTTTATATTCGACTGCATATATATTTATACTGATAAACCTCTCATAGGTTCACACCAGTACACACTGCATACACAGAAAACCTATAAACAACAGTGCCCAAAAATGATGTATGCACATTTAAGGAGTCAACTCAGAAAAATTATAGCAAAACATAATCTCTATCTAGCCATGCACAGACTGGCAGAAAAGGAGTCGTAACTGATCATTTAGACTAAAGGATTAAATTCAAGCAGTTTCATGTTATGTAAACTTAAACGACAAATTACTGTTGCTGCTGCAGGCTGACACAAACCACCATGGTAGTAATCGGTGCTATGAGAAAAACAAGCTGGCTATCTGTGCATGTACTGTTAAGCATTAGTAATAACTGACATTTAAAAATAAAAATGAATGCTGCGGTAAAACATGCACATAAACATATTGTAAATGACCTGAACAACTAGGAATCCAGTTTATATCAAGGCTCTCTTCTTTTTAGTAACTGCTATACTGTCACCTTGCACTATATAGTATATAAACACGTACTAGACAGTGTATGCTTACTTTATGGATGACTAAAGTAAGGTGTTTAGTGCTAACAGCATTGGTTTTTCTTTCTCTGTGTTTCTCTCACACACTGAGATAGAGCGAGGCTGAGTCACTGAGATAGGTGCAGATAGACTGGTATTACTTTGAGGAATTAATTTTTAATTCAATTACCGTTGTCTTGACAGTTTTTCAAGCTAACACTAGCTCCTGCACTATGACTCACAGGTGTTTCTCCTGTTTAGCACAGGCCTGACTGAATGACCGGCCTTTGTTTAAGCTTCATGATATTTTGTGTACAAAAAGAGTACACAAAACAGCAGTGGCTCCAAGTAGTCACATTTGGTTTTCCATAATGGTTTAGCCAAGAAATTTCTTATATCGTTAGCTTCATAGCATAAGTGCCTAAGTCATTTTTTTGTGATGACATAGGCAGACGGACAGGATGATGCAGCAGTGGTAGGGGAGTAAAGTTAGGCAAAAATCTCAATTTGACCAAAAAATGACTTAGGCACTTATGCTATGAAGCTAACGATATCATTTACCTTATTAGCGCAGCAGTGAAGTAACAAAGTTAAAACGAATAAAGTTACGATGAAATAAATGAAGCTTGGTATGACTAGGGGTATTTTTCTTTATTTTCAGCGATATTGTTGTTACCATGAATTCTTCTGCCCACTTGTAGCGGAAAATCTGATACTGTAACATCACTAATCCCAAACAAACAACACACACACTTTCTACGTGAGAGACCAGAATAACTACAAAAGCACAATAAACGTACACAGAAGCACAGACAGGACATAGTTCCCTTCGATGCAGAATACAAAACACTCAAGTGTTATTTACGCGACCCATTAAGCTAACCAACATCTCCGATCTTGTAAATAAGCTTGCTAACCATCTTAAGATTTCACTGTTAAGTTTCACTATCGTGGTATTGAAGTATACGGGCTCATTAGGCTAACGTGGAGGAGGTAGTCGAGTACTTTAGCTGGTCCTCTGGAAAATATGCCCAAGTTAAACTCAAACCTTTACAGACTAGAGAAATAGAGAGAGAGAGAGAGAGAGAGAGAAAACGACGGAAACTCGGAATTTAAAAACACAAAAACAGTGATGAGATTGTGAGTGCTCTTGACTGTTAGCATAAGCTAGCATCAGTGTTTACCTAGGTGATAGCAGCTTTTGAGCCACCTACGTTAATCTTAATGTTATTCCCGAATAACTTTGATTCGAGCAGCCCAATCTATACCTGTGCTAGCCATACACAGAGAAGAATATTAGATCAACCAACTGCTTGATTGTGTCTAAATCGTTGTCGATACACCTACGACCTCTTAACTTAAGCTAACAATGGTAGTGTCAGGATTTCGCCAAGACTTTAGTAAGTTAGCCTGACGTTTAAGACAGGGTGTTATATTACACTGGGGACTGTTTAACTACTGGCGATTATTTCACAAAGAATAAACAACTATTATTAGCTGTGATTAAGCCGGTTAACTACCAGCTACGTTGCACTTGTTAGTTAGCTAGCTGCCTTCCTCGCATCAGTCTCGGGCCCAAATCAGATGTGTCGTTGATAACGCTCCAAGCTGCTCGCCCCTGTTTTGACATCCAGTAGTGTGACACTCTTACCTCGTCGTTTATGCCCGTGATGGATCCTATATTCCCGCTGCCTGCACTGCCAGGTGTCAAAAAGCCGACGACAGAGGCAGGTGCTGCTGTTCCCTCACAGCCCAGGGCCGAAGCAACCCCGGCCTTGCCACCGCTGGTATTGCAGACAGCACTGCAGCTACTGCCACCGCCCCGCTTGTTCTTCCTGCGTTTAGCCCCCCGTTTAGCATCGGTTGGACTCATTTTTCCCAATAAAAGAAGCGAGACAACTTGCCGTCCAGACTTAGCAGAGTCTCAAGTGGAATGCCTGTTGCAATCACTCGCGTATAAATCCTGGATAGCAGTATAGAGACTCTCAAAACGGCAGACACTCAGTTCCATCAAAGTGCAAGCCGACTTCATATATTCCAATATGGCCTCTGACTGGACTGCCTCAACCAGGGCTCAGATCGCGTCGAAACGTAAATGTGCGTCCTCACCCAGGCGCTCATGGGAAATTGAGTTTGCCATGGGAAATCACTTTCTAAGCAGATAACAGGGAGAAAGTTGTAGTTAGCGGAGATAAACACTGACGTTGAATGCTTTACAAACATATCGGTCTTCTTCTTATCTTATCCTTTTGCCTTAGATTATATGTCTCTACTCGGATCTAAAATAGATAATAAACGTATTACCGGTACAAGCATCCGACACAAACTGCAAACAACACATTTTAACAGCAGGGGGAGAGCGCATCCCGCAAATGATGTAGTTTGCTTCAGCTGACAGCAGAGGCCCAGCAGAGTGGAACAGTCTTTCCGGGCAGTCAAACAGCGAGTCTGGCGTCTTTGCCGAGAGCGAAAGACAGCCGATGATAAACTGCTAGTACATCTATATGCACCGTCTGCGTTAACAGCCCTTTGCGCTAAAACATCCAGTGCGGCCCGGTGCTGAGGATTTCAATAAGCATCTACAACGGCTAACGGGGCACAGCTAAAACAGTTAGCCGCATCCGCACACAGGTAACGTGAACTAAAGTTTTCTTCTTCCCTGTTTAATTGTTGCACGGATGTGCACATCCAGCGAAGCTTGAAGACACTGTCAACTTTAAGTGCTTTCGTTGGAAGTTTTTCCTTAGCTGCCTGTCGGCTTGTTAGCTACTTAACGCTAGCTAACTACACGTCAACAGCTGCGATAGATTCACGTTAAGTCAAATTAGTGGGCAGCTCAGAGCTAACCGACTAGCGGGTAAAGCTAGGGGACGGTTTGGTTGATGCATACTTATCACTTTTATTATGTTGCAATCTCAATAAATGAAATGAATTAGCTGCATTATATATTTGGTCTGGCAAGTTTTTTTTTTTATCACTTTTGAACAGCCTTGCAGCAAGTCACGTGACTGCACTTCAACAGGTAACCTTGATAAACTCGACTCTGTTCCGGGTAGTACTAGCAGCATCCACGTCGATTTCCACAATGTCATAAAGGCTATAAACCTGACGCGGTTAACATTATGTGAAAGGTGCACTTTGTTTCCGGCAGAGAGCTGAAAATCTGGAAATTATCCAACAGTTCTCTAATGTCGGAGGTAGTTGCTCCAGTATCACAGGTGACTGCTAACAGCCTGTAGACGTACCTGTAGTTTTACAGGTACGCTTTAAAATGCAAGGTAAAATTCAATCGAAATTTACCTTAGAATAAATAATAAATAGAACTGTAAAATCCTGTTGTGAGTTCTGGTTAGGGATTGGATTACACAGCTGCTCCTGAGTGTAGTTTAAAAATGGTGTCTATATGTGAGCCACTTCACTTTCCTGTTGTGCAAGTGCTTTCATCAATAACAGAACCCCAGTTTGTGCCTCTCACATGCATTCGACTCAAAGTTCAAACATGGCCATTCGATAGACACATTAATGTGCTGGAACTGTAGGACATACACCACAATTACAATTGGTCTTTACGTGTGCCTGATAGGCAGACTATTCAGAGGTCTGGACTGGGGCAGATAAGGAAGTATAGTACATGGATGTGCTGTAGGCGTGGCCCAGAGTATGTATTGTGCAGCCTCAAATCCCACTACTCGTTTAAACAATGTGAATTTAAACGATTCTTACTTTGTACAAAAACATGACTTTGTATAAAGTTAGGAAACCGTTATTGTGATTCCCTGGTGTCGTATTTAATAAAAAGTAATCACTCAGTGAGATACAGATACACAAAGAAGACTATGAGAAGTCCTAAAATACCTTACAAGCAGCAGTTAACTAATTTCCCTTTGTTAGTAGGGGCACTATAAGCAGTCGGCCAGCTTCGTGGGACTTTTTCATACTTGCCTGTCTGTCTGTTTCCAGGTATGTCTGAAGTTAGTCTTGAGGCAGAGTCGGGGAAGACCTCATCCGAGGAGCCTCAGATGGATTGTGAGGAGGATGGCAAAGCAGAGGAGAGTTTGAGCAAGGAGTTAAAGCAGGAGAGCGTAGACAGCAGCAGTGTCAGGGAGGACGATGTGATGTACGACATTGACATTAACAGTGATGAAGAGAATGCAGAAAGCAGTAACAGGAAGGGACAGAAGCCGCATGATGAGGGCATTCAGAGCGAGACTTTGGCGTCTGGTCGTGTAGCCGATAGGGGACACGAGACGAAACGCAGCATTGAAACGGCTGAAACACCACAGGAAAGCGGAGATACTCACACTGAAACAAAGGTGACATTTACCTTCACTCTGAACAATCGACCTGTCCTGGCACTTCCTCTCTGCTCTCGCTCATGTTGCCATTTTGTCCTTGATTTGCTGTTGCGGTGGCGGTATTCTTCCTATATAATCAGGTTAAATATTGTTGCGGAGCTTTATTAGAAGTAATCAAAAACAAGAAACTGCGTTATTGTGTTTGTTTCCCTCTTTTTACGTTTGCTTTGTTTCATCTTCCACTTGCTTTGCAGGAGTTACAAATTAGCTGGTTTTCTCTCTGTTGGTGGTGCGCTTGGTTTTCTCACTAGTTACCAAGTGTTGCTTTGTAATGTGTTTGAGGATCATCAAAGCCTCGTGCACTCTGCTCTTTTGGCTTACAGCAAAGTGATTGCTAAGAAAAGAAATGAATTTCTGTTTATTACTTTGTATTATTGCAAATATACATGTGTTACAAAGTGCTGATTTGTCATGGTTATCCCCTGCTGGCTGGTAAGTATGAATCTATGCATATTTTGCCTTATTTAGATTAACTGTTAACTGAAGGTTAATGTGCGAATGACACCGTTTCCTCCACTTTTTTTGCTAAGTTGGGCATTCTTACGTCTCTTGAGTTCTGCACATGCCGGTCACATGGTTGGCTAGAGAGATTTGGAGTCCTGACTGAACGTTCACAGGCAATCCCACATTTCTTGTTTCTGGAATGTGACTCCTTAGGTTGTTGTTTTGTGTTCAGTTTCAGGCTCAGCGCCAGCATTGAATGTGGCATCCCAAGAATTTCATATCAGAAATTTTAATTGTTCTTCCCATTTTCCTTTAGTCACCCTGCATACTTTTGACGTAGACACATTTCAGGTTTTGCTTATTTATTTTTTTGGTGGTGGGGTGTTTTTGTTTGCAGTTTGAGCACAACATTGCGCAACGCTAATGTGTCACGTTCGTCTGTAGTTTGCAAGACGCCATTAGCTGACACAGCTAATTGGACAGTAAGCTTATTGTTATTATCCATCCCTCCCTCTTACATCATCTTGATCTGAATCCAGGTTACTGAACCGTAGGGAATGGCAACCTATGACATGCCATACCTTGTCCATTTGCACGCCTGACTCATTTGCAGCCAGTGGAATAACACTGTTAGCCAGTTTTTCTGCAGACTGTGGGTGTGATCATTTTTGCCTCAAGGCCCCTGATAATTTGTTGTTCTGTGAATCGTCTCTTTATGTTTTGTTTTGGGGGTTTTTGTTGGGTTTTTTTGTATAAAAAGAGTCGTTAATATGGATGCATGGAAAGCTAGAATTTGCTGCTAAAAGCACCAATAACAGAACTAGTCAGCAAATTTATTTACACGTTTTCTTGTTCTCTGTTTGTTATGGAAGATGTACCCTTTTCAGGCAAATGGTTTGAACCTGAGTGGAGCCAGTCTTACCTGCAGCTGGTAGTTGGATAAGCAGAGCAGTGCTTATCTGTGCTGCCTGCCTGCCTGCAGGTTTCCTATGGCCTTTAAGTATTAATGTGTGCCGATCACATGGTGCAGCCAGCAAAGCTGTGTCTTTATCGCCCATCCCATCCTGTTTTTAATGTGTTATACTGTGGATCAATAAGTGAAGCAGACGATTCTGTTTTTGATCAACTATTTTGATTTCCATTCACTCAAACACACTAAACTATTTTACATCAAGTGTTCCTTTTGAGACAAAATGTGATCAAAGCAAAATGCCAAATCTATGGCTTTGCAAAGTATTTGAGAATGGTATAAAGTGGTTTACACACCATAGCTGTTGTAAGTAAAAATGGCTCACTGCAGCTTCCAGTATATCTTATTTAGTTGCATTACAAGCTGCAGTCGAATTCACAAGTCATAATTAGAGCTGGAAGTTCTCACAGGTGATGGTATATGTTAGAGTGAAACCTGAGCCATGAAGTTCAGACAGTTGGCACTAGTCCTTTGGTTATGATTGTGTCAAAGCACAGACCTGAGGGCAGAAGGTGTGCAGAGGATGTTGGCTTCTATCATTCTCAAACAGAAGAAGTTTGGAAACACCAAGAGTCTTTGTAAAAACGGGTCAAAAGAAGTAATTATAGACAGAGGGCCTCAGTCGAACAGGTATCCAAGAATCCAGTCTAGTCTGTTTTGGTCCATTGTGAACGACGTTCAAATAGAGGGGGGAAAATGGTGCAGCAGTCACCGATCGAGCCTGCTGGGAGACGCATACCGGTAAGCAGATCTTAACAAGGAGAAGCAAAATCCTCTGTCCTGAGGAACCAAAGAGGGAAATATCTACCCACAATTCCTAAAGACGTGTGTGGAGAAAAACCTGACACTGACCACCACCTCATTATTACGACCCCTATGCTGAAACGTGGTGGTGGCGGCATCATGCTGTGGGAATACTTTGAAGCAACAGGCCCTTGCAGATGTATGCAGATAATGTAGTGCAAGCCTGGATTGAATTTATTTCTCAGGATCTCAGGCTGTGTTCAAAGTTTATATTTCATGAACACAATGCCCTGGTGAGAAAACACAGGAGTGGCTTTGGCTGTTGCGACCCAGCTAGAGTCCAGACCAGAATCTCTGAAGAGATCTGAAAATGGCTGTGTGTCCAAAAACACGTGCCAAGTTTGTAGGATGACTTTCCAATAGTGTTGAGGCTATAGTGGCTCCCAGATACCCTGTCATGGGATATTTCAGTGTTATATTTTTTGATAAATGTACCAAACATTCCCTTTCTTATTGTGAAGTATTGTGTGTGTGGGTTGATGAGAGGGAAAATGCTGTAGGGGTCAATATAAACTTACCGTTGGGTTCTCACAGTGAAACCACTCAGCCTGTTAAGACAGGAACCGGCTCCTCTTACCAGCTGATCTGGATACTACTTGCATTATTTAGAAAGGGGTCAAGATTCATAAATAAAATATCTTGCTCAAAGATGCAAATTCCCCTGTACTGATTATAAAAACACCTCACTTTAAATGCTTTTTCCCCCCACACACTAACATTCACAGGCCTCACAAAAGCTTCCATACAGAATGTCATAGTGATTAGGTCAGTGTCCCAGTTTTCAGGTCCACAGTGATTAGGCCACAAAAAAGTACTAAAACTAGCACAGCTGTATCTTCATCCTCCAACTGCAGGCAGATTATTATAGCTTAAACCAAACTGATGTGGCCATAAACTGTCTCCACCCTGCGGTTTGCTCCGAGGTTGAGCTAAACAAGCCAATGTGTCACTGCATCATGATTAAGGCTACGATTTCTATTTTTCATGGCGAATAAAATGAGGACTGCCACATGATTATTGTGAGAATTGAGTTTTGTTCGATGCTTATTCCAGCTGGATAGGGTGAGCTAATGCTCACGTGGACATAGCCACAAAATTTGGGTATTGTCTGTTTAAGGCATTGCAGTAGCAGATATTAGGAGATGTGGAAGGCCACTGATGATGCATTCTATTCTGTGTAGCTTTAAGAAGTAATGTTGTGAAATAGGGGAGTGTGGAAAGCTGATGCCGGTTGTTGTTGCACAAAAACTTCATATCCTGATCGGTGCTGAAATCAATCAAAGCAACGATCTTAAATTTAATCGTAAATGAAATCTTTTCATCCTGTGTTGATAATCAGTGAAGAAAACTGTGAGAGGAGGATGGGTTGATCAGTGTCGTGGTGATGCAGCATGGTTTAGGTATGTTAATGTAGAATAGTCAAACTGACCATGTTAAGTATTTGTTGAGGTTAAATATTAAAAAAGCAGTTTAATCGTCAAATTATGTTATTTATATGTCACTGAATGTGAACAAAAGTGCTAAAGTTACAGAAAAAACCCCACTAAACTTCACTTGAAACTCTTACAACTATATACTGCAACAACTGCTGTGTTCTTGGATCTTGGCTATGAGTACATAAAATCACAAAATGAACATGCTGTTGGCCATTTAGACTATAACGCACTTGGAAGATGTTTACTTAAAATTATAAATCCAGTGAGAAATAGGGGGATTTTTTTTTTTATTCCTATTGACTTCTGTATATTAAACTTATTTTCAACCAGATGATGAGTCGCCCCCTGCTGCCCATTTGAAGGACGCAGCTCCTCAGCACTAGCTTAATTTTAAGCCCTCGACGATGCCTCTCTTATTTACAGTCTATGATATCCAGTCTCCTCTTTTTTCCTTGAGAAATAACCTGCTTCATTTAACCATCCTTATTGCAGGAGAGCACAATGGCCGAGGAGTCCCACAGAAGCACAGCGGCGGAGATCCCCGTCACCAGCAATGGAGAACTAGAGCAGAGCCCCGAGTCTGTATTCAGCAGGGTAAGAGATGAGCTTAGTTTCATTAAACCTTAAAAACTGTGCAAATATCTATGAAGAGTATGTGTCACAAAACAAGGGAAACTTGTATAAAGGGATGTATTTGCTATTTTTAACAACTGTTACAGTCAATTGATATTTAGTTTGCCACGATTTCTAAAAAAAGAGCATCAACTGTACACTTTGGAGCAGCTCTAAGTGGCAGATGTTTGAGGGTAAATTAATTTAAGGCAGTCAAGCAGTGATGTAATGGTACAGTAAAGAAAAGCACTTTCCACCAATCACATACAGACCCCAGACACATTTCTTTCTCATCAGTCTGAGAGTTGGCAGTGGTTCCAGCTGATTGCTCCTTATAGCTCACAGTCACACTGCCAAGTCTGTTCAGCTCACAGACAGTATAAAACATGGACATAGCTACCGTCATGTCACCTGCGGTTCTCTGAAGTTCTGTTTTGAAACCTCAAACGAGTGTTTCCTCAGTTACCGTCTTGGTCGCGAGACATCAGATGTGACGAGATGGGGCGGGTCTGGCAGTGAAACCACTTCGTCATTGGCTAATAACTTATGATTGACAAGCCCATGAGCGAGCAGAAAATACCCCAGCTAATCTTCTTTTTCACATATAATATGACCAAGTTTAACTTTTTTTTTTTTTTAGTCAGTGTGACACAAGAATGAGTGACTAACGAGTGAGTTCAGTAACAAAGTGTTTAGAGTTTGGGAAAGAGCCATTTTCCCATAGACTTCTATAGGACTGGAAGTCTTTTTGCAACCACAGCTATCGCCATCTGGTGGTCTTCAGATAGAGTGCAAGTTTTTAAGCACTTCAACGTTGGCCTTTTTCCAGTCAGACAGCTGTGTTCAGATTGTCTATGGTGTAACCACAAGCATGTGTGGAACTTTAAAATGTTTAATCCTGATAAAATAACTTGCTGAGGCAGGAACTGATAAATTGCCGGAAGGTTCTTACCTGGTTTCATCTGACTTGATTTAACTTGAATGTGAATGGAGGAATGAAATAAATATTCTTCTATTACTTATTCGTAAAATGATAAAAACGTTTGATACATGTGTTCCATGCCACTTGAATCCTGCTGTGATAAATCAATGTAGAGCCTGCAGCGTCTACACAAGTGACCAAGTCCTTTGTTAGTGTGTGACAAGTATTAAGCGGGATAGCCAGATATCTGGGGAGGTGCATGTCAGGTCGCACCATATGGCTTCATATACCTATAGTGTAGTTCAGGGGTCTCCAGCTCCAGTCTTCGAGAGCTACTGTCCTTGACAGCTGAATCAAATGGTTGAATTACCTCTTCAGCATGCCATCAAGTTTGGCAAAGTCCTGGTAATGAGCCATTCACTTGATTCAGGTCTGCTGGAACAAAGATGCATCTAAAAGCTGCAGCACAGTAGCTCTTGAGGATTGGAGCTGGAGACCTGTGGTGTAGATGGTGATAGTCATGGAGGGAGTGGTCCTTTTGATTGGCTCTCGCTTTAGGAAGGCCTCAATATGTGTAATGGTGACAGGAAAACCATAACGCTCCATGTTTTTTTTATGGTCATGGTTGCTGGTGACCACATGGTCATAACTCTCCTGAACTTAAACACAACAATTCAGTGCTGAACGAGATGAATTGATCCTAGGCACGGCTGTTCGAGCTTTCTTGAGTGTGAGGTTAATTTGTTAGGAGTGGTGAATGTTTCACAAATTGTTGCGTGCCACCCTGTGTGTCTGCACTGTTAGTGGGCAAAAAGATATTACATTAAAACTTTTGATGGTATAAAAGAATTAAACAGCTTGATAAACCACAGTGGAGGTTTTCTCTCTTCTCGACCATAGCTGTATTTCAAAAGTGACTCATAAATTTAGCTTCACTAAATCAGTTGTTAATGTGCGCACCCATAAGACCTTCTTCTGATTAAGCCTTTGGGGACACCCACCAATCATCTGTAGCTTCCACGCAAAGACTTCCTGTTCTGCTTGCTGGTCAGGAAGGCAACTAAAAGATGCTTAGAGAGAGCTAAACTGTTATCAGGGGATAACTGTAGGTTTCAGACTACAGAAGGAAGCTTCCAGTCCCTAAGAAATCAAGTCCAGATATGTTTTTATGTTTGTGTCTGTCAGGTCCACTTAAACTATTTTATCTTTGTTTTGTTTCCTCCCGTAGGACTCTTATCCCAGTGGCCCAGGGGCCATAAACCTTTCAGAGACTTGTGTCACATCAAGCAACTTTGCCTCAACCACAGAGGGCATCATTGAATCAGGAGCATACAAAGGTGAGCCGTACTCTCCCCAGTTTTACGCCTGTTGCTTTGTGGACCGTTTCCTCACTATTCAGAGGTTTTATGAAGCAGCATCTCTGTCAGTGTGTTGTCAGGCTTTGTCAGCTTGTTACATTATTGGATTTTATTTGCAACATTCTGAGTTTACAAACCGCCCATCTGTCCATGTTCCCACTGCCCCACTTTTGTTTTTGTTTTTTTTAAATCTCTCTGAAATATAAAAGGTAGAAATTTGAATTTCTAAAGCTGGACATCTAATTGAATTTAATGAGTATGCTGTGATCTTCACATCGTATCGCCCCGTCTGCGTTTTATCATCATGTCCTTGTTACAAATGCAAATAAAAATCTCCCCATAGTGCGTAGAGCTGCTAGAGCCCATTCACCGTCATGTTGCCATGGCTATTTTCCATGTTATTTACACTGGCTGAGGTAGGCTTTTGTTCACAAGCACGTTCACCTACAGCCCGGGGAGAGCTTGGGGGGGGCACAGGAAATAAACACCAGTGGGAGGGGAGGGGGGGCACAGGAAATAAACACCAGTGAGAAAGTCCCCCTTATACTTGTGCTGGAAAAAAGGTAACGCACTAATGATAACTCTATCTCCCAGGGTCAGCAAGCCTGCCCACATCTCCCGTGTCACCTGTAGCTCCCAGCTCGGCTGTTGCCAGCCGCCTGGCGCGCTCTTCCAGCGATAGTCAGGCTGAGAAAGGTACCTCGAAGCGATGGTGTATGAATCAGATGAAGCAACACCATTTTCTACGCAAAATTAACCACAATCTACTTTACCGCCTTTGGTTCTCACCAGGTCCTTACCTGCTCTTTATTCCTACAGGCTGTGCTTCGTTGCAAATCAAACCTTTCCTCTCCCTTCCTGTTTGTTGGCTCTTCAAACTTTGCCCTTGCATAAGACCGGGCTAACATAAGTAGTGTTATGCTTTGCAGTGGCAATCAGTGAGCATTTAAATACCCTTTAGAGTCCTTTTACTGAGGTCTACATGTCAGAATGTCTAGATTTAACTTCTTGATACCTTTACATTTGCTTGGCTTGGAGGAAAAAAAACTGCCTGCAAATTTAATCTCAGTGGGTTTTCCTGCATGCAGCCTTTGTCCTCGCGTAATGTGGCACCCGGCATGTCTTTATGGAGCCTCAAAGCTGCCATCATGTTTTTGAAAGGCGGTCAGATGAGAGAAAATGGAATAAATCAAAACTTTCTTCACTGCTTTGACATTTGATTTTAAAACTATCACTTAAAGCTACTGTAGCTGACCTTTTTTTTTACCTTCAGATGATGACCACCTTCTACAGTTTCATCAGCTCTGGAGCTCCGTATCTTTCAGCATTTCTCTAGACCCAAAACAAAATGAAGTTCCTGTCATTTACAATATTTTAATGCTGTAGAGTTAATTTCAGCTGGGCTGTTCATAGATGTCACCTTGCTAAGTGAATAACTTTCAACTCTCCAGGCTCGATGACAGCACAGCCAAAGAGCGGAGCGGTGGTGCTTTCAGAAGACTTAAAGAATCCAGCGATGGAAAAACTGGACTTAGTGAGGAAGTGGAGCATCAACACATATAAAGTAAACCTCTCTTTAATTGATTTATTATTATGTCCTTTTTCTAACCTCCT